ACATATTTGACCCCTGTGACCTTGAATATGGGTGAAGGTCATTCATTTGAACAAACTTTGTAGCACTTCATCTCAGCATGCTACTGGCCAAATATCATCACCCTGAGCATTTTGGTTATTCAGAAGAAGTTGTTTAAAGGTTTTTTAATGCAATTGACCCCTGTGACCTTGAATATAATTGAAGGTCATTCATTTGAACAAACTTGGTAGCCCTTCACCCAAGCATGCTCCTGGCCAAATATCATCTTCCTGGGCATTTTGGTTATTGAGAAGAAGATATTTAAAGTTTTTGACATATTTGACCCCTGTGACCTTGAAAATAGGTGAAGGTCATTAATTTTAACAAGCTTTGTAGCCCTTCATCCAAGTTTGCTTCTGGACAAATATCGACACCCTAGGCCTTTCGGTTATTAAGAAGAAGTTGTTTAAAGTAAAATATTGACGCCGGACGACGGACCGACGGACGCCGCGCCACGGCATAAGCTCACTTGGCACTTCGTAATAATGGCTCACTTACTGTTACATATGTGATTTATTTCCTTGTTAGAGAAGAAATTCTGCTTTCTCCTCAGGTTGAATTTCCTACCCTACACCCATTGACACGAGTCTTATAATCCTACAAAGATAGATATGAGGGGAAACTTGTATCTTACCCTGTAAACTAGGATTATGCATCTTGTCCTTGTAAACAACTGGTCCTCCTGAAAAGATTTGAATAACATATTTTACTGTTTGAGAAGCTCCATCAAATACAATTAATTAATGTTTACAATTCAGTATTTAATGAATGGAAAATACAATAAACAGATTAATAGCTTCCAAATACTTCTAATTAACATATTTATATTTCGAAATTCACCATATATTCAAAGATAATCATTTTGAAGTATTAGCCAATAAAACCAATTACAATCAAACAAATATGTGTACAGCACTAATCGAGTATGACAATGAAACTGATTAGCAACATTCCAGAATACATTCTTCTACTTTGTACAAACTCCAATAATGAATTATTAGTACACCATGAGAATTTTAAGATTAAATTGTGCATACACAACCACATTAAGACATTTTTTTTCTTCTTTTTAGACCAAATAAAAATGAAGCTGAGTGCCCGGACTCACCCTATTTTTTCCTGTTGACCCTAGATCATTTTTTTTAGGTTTCAAAAAACTGTAATACAGTCAACCGGTTCATTTGACCACTAGCTATGATAACACAGCTTCTGACAACAAGACAATTTTAATTGGTGCATGGGAGGCAGAGTATTAATATTAGTACTATGTGAGCACCTGTTTTATATGTGACCACCTGTCTCAGGAGACCTCTTTTGATTCCTATCTATTGCTTTAACTATCAAGTTCAGTTTAACTGAATTCAATCATGCACGTCTAACATGACACCACCCATTTCCAACCCAAAATATTGTGTTAAAAGGTAAAAGATTTTGTTGTAGTGACATCAAGCAATGTTCACAAAATCTTACACTCTTGATATTGATTATCTTCATTTGATTGCACAAGTGTTCTGTCAAGCAATGTATCCTTTATCACAGTTATATCTTTCCTCTGATGATCTTATTGTTCTCAAAAAGAATTAAGAAAATTCTTCTCAAACACTTACGATCATTTCAATACAGGAAGGCAACTACCACTTGGCCAAAATTTTATTAATTGCCTGGACATTGTTTTATTGAATAAAGTGTTTTCCACTACAATGTGATTGACATCAGTGTTCTCCTCAGAATGTTTTGAAAGAAGCATGGTATTTCAATATTTCTGTTAAAGCAGCACTCTATGTAAAATCAAAGCAGCATGGTAACTTTAGATTTACTATGAATATATAGCAGAGAAGATCTAGGATAGCAGCATGGCAAGGAATTATAGGAGCATGGTGCCATGCTGCAAAAACAGCCTGGGGAGAACACTGGACATGAATGTGTGAAGGTTTCTGGGGATAAGACGTTAGTCTGTCTTGTTTTATTTCATTAAATGCCCACCATTATTAATTTTGGAATTTCCCCTGGGTGGTTGTGTATACTAATTTGATATGTATTCATTCAGTAATAAATTACCATCTCTCTGATTGGAATTTCGTGAAGACATTTCCATCTCATTTCTGACTTTGGACCAGGCTGTAATTAGAAAATAAAACCAAGATACATTACTTGCACTGAAAAGTAAGATAATTCAAAACATTTCATATGTAAAATACATCTATGAATTCCTTAATCAGTAAACTTACAATGCATTACATATCGTACAAGCTCGTCATGCTGTATTTGTGAAGTGCTTTCCTGCTGGGACCCATTTGCATTGTGTGATCGCTGGAAGTTACCCCCTCCTCGTCTGAAGTATGGTCTAGGGGAACTGAAATGGAAATATAGTTCAAGCATAAACATTATCGTTGATGATACAGCTGTTTATCAACATGTTTCATTACAATATGGCTGGTTTGTTGTCACAAATCGCACAGTAACTAAGTAAAAATATAATGAGATGTCCATTTAATAGAAAATTATGTAACAGGAAAAGAAATTCTATCTAAACGCAGATTCTATGGGATCAATCCAGAAATTGTTCATTGGTTTTCTTCCTTCTTAAGTAATAGACATCAAAAAGTGGTGCTTAATGGAACCTGCTCAGATAGTGCCCATGTCCTCTCCGGGGTACCCCAGGGGACAGTTGTTGGCCCACTCCTCTTTTTAATCTACATAAATGACATTGTAACCTGTAATATCAAATTGTCTACTTTACAACGAAATCCCTTCTCTACAAGAATGTCACAAACTGGACCATGATTTAAAATCTCTTGAAACTTGGGAGGGGAAATGGCAGATGAATATCTAGGGTTCATCATCAACTCAGAACGAAATTGGAACAACCATATACAGTCCATCACCAACATGGCTAACAAAACACTAGGTTTCTTAAGGCGCAACATATCATCTTGCACTAAAAAAGTAAAATCAGTAACATATATATATATATACAACACCAGTAAGACCATCACTAGAATATGCAGCTACATGCTGGGACCCTTATACATCAGACCAGGTCCTGGCAATCGAGAACATCCAGAGGAGAGCAGCACGGTATGTTTACAACCAACATAGATCTAGAGAGCCTGGCTGTGTCACCAACATGATAACATCATTAAACTGGGAAACTCCAGCCAATCGAAGACAAAAGCCAGACAAATAATGCTTTATAATATCATCCATAATCATGTGACAGGCTATAGATCCAACATCATACATAACATAAGGTGATGCACACAAACTTAACAAATTTCTTCAAACAAAAATCTATATAAATATTCTTTCTTTCCAAGAACTATCATTGATTGGAACTCTTTACCAGCATCGCTAGCACAGAATCCAAACCTGAACTCTTTCAGGTCTGCCCTTGCTAAATCTGTGTTAGTTTTATCCTCAATAAAAAATAACAAAAAAATCTTGTTTTTAATCTATACCACCTCCCAGGGACAATTGCACTCACACCTTTGAGGAGTCTGTCCCTTAGACTGGAAGAAGAAGACCTCTAACTTTAGTAATTCAGAAATCTACTGTGGTGACTCTTACTTTATCAAGAGAGGCTCAGGCTCCAAAAAGGTGAAAAATGACTATAGAGACATTGAAGCTTAATGTTTTAAAAAAAAGCGTGATGCGATCATAATCCTATCAGATATTCCATTACATAATTATAATAAGGTACAATAATCCTTACTTTACGTCTTATAACAATGAAAAAACAAAGCTCCGAGGAGCTTTTGTTACGACGCATTATAAAGTTATCATAAACCCAAAACACGTTTCATCCCTTTCAACGGCCGATTCTATAGTTTTCTCATTTCCAATTTTTATTACGCATATTGTCCAAATCCCTTGCCTACAGTAATCCATTAGGAGACATACTGACGAAATCGGTCAACACGTGGTTACTTGTTTAATCCATAACCTTGCTCATTAACTGTTCTGCAAACATGACAATGAAGATGGGGTGGAAGTTAAAATGGCTGAATCAGTATGGGCGAGTGACACACAGACTTTCACTTGCAAACAAACCTCATTATAACGCCGTTCGCAGGTTCCTTCTCCGTGTCCTTAATTTCAAGGTTGTCGAGTTGCGTAGCTGGACCTTATATAAAATAAACATATTTGGAAATGAAACAGAACAATTTTTCTTCAAAATGACACATAAACGAGATCGCGCTGTTACATATAGTGAGAGTATTTTAGAAATTTCTCTTACCTCTGCGGGTGCTAGCAACAATTTTACTGGGTCCTCTTGACAAAGCGTACATCCCGTGGTTACTTCCGTTTCGAATCGATTTGTGCGCATCGATAGTGCGCAACCATGTGCGTTTACTGTGCTTGTTGTTGACAATATGGTGTTGTTCATTTGCGAGTCTTAAAGGTAAGTAAGTCTCATGAAAGATGGATTAAAATTATTGTAAAATGGCTACATCAATGAGCACAACAATCAATATTTAAAAGCAATACGAGGAAAGTTGGACTAAGTAAAAATGTGTACATGTCCCATTCATTCCTAGTTTTATTTCAAAGCGCGGGAGTAACGCGCCGCTGGTGTAGTGGTATCATGCAAGATTCCCATTCTTGCGACCCGGGTTCGATTCCCGGGCGGCGCACATTTTTTACATTATTGTGATTGTTTTAAAAAAAAGTGGAACAAAAAATAAAGGATGTGTGAGCACATTAGCAAACACTGTTTTTATTCTCGTTATTCATTCCACTTATAATGTACAAAACACGGCTATTGGAAGGTGTACTACTACTACTACTACTACTAACTACAGGAAATATACGCAGCCTATCACCACCGACAATCTAATTCCTTGCGATTACGCACTAAACATAAATTTTCATTTATCGGCTAGTTTTCTGAACATGATACATACTGAGTTAATGAATCGTCCCTTCCGATATCTCTATTTCAGGTTAACGCTATAACTTTATGTAATAGCGCAGGACTGTGTAGAGTAAGTATAGCCTTCATGACCTCATACAACTGGATGACACAGGATTAAGATTTTCTATAATCTGACAGGTTGTCGAGCAATGTATTACATAGTCAGCAATCTATTTCCTTCTTCGGGCTCATACCGGTGTATATAGGGTCTCAGTTTCAGACCCCATCTGTCGAGCCTTAGGTTTGGAAGTCCTTGTTTCTACCATATCTTCTCCAATGGTTTGTGGTCTTTGACAACAGTGCACTGTCTGAGTCTCCTCCAATACATAGTGTTCACAAGTCACACATGACCTCCAAAACCTCTCACCCTACTGTATCGAGATTCAATAGACGTTACTGAGATTAACTTGTCTTGGACCAGGACTGCGCCTATTCGGACAGATACAACATTTATCCTTAATTAGACTGGTCTCATTGGGTTCGTTGTACGCGACGAAAGTATCACTAGCTTCCACGTATATGTTTGTGAGTCACCCTACAGAGTTTTCGGAGATGTCACATATTCTTCGATGAAAAGACAATAGTTATAAGTCATGCTTTTGTGTTCTTAACGCTTTCTGGATGCTGGAATTATCCTACAAATTTTACTTTTGAGTCTGCGAAGATTCTGTTTTCGCTTAAGACTAAAAAAAAAGAAAGAGATATTATCTATGTTTCAGCACGGAATTAGATTGCTTTCTCCGTGGTTTTATTAATGTCTCCTTCAAGGCCTCTTCGTGCTCCATTTTGTATCTTCTATAAAGGATGATGTCATCAGAAATATTCAAAACCCCTTCAATTCCTTCAGTTACCCGTTTGGTTGTTTCTTGAAACCCTCAAGACGCCGATGAAATCCCCAAATTGAGCCGTTTGTACTCGTTAGAGTGATGTATCTCGACTCTGTTTCGATATCAAGTTGGTGCATGATAACTGTACTTCTGAGATCAAGTTAACTGAATATCTCAGCACCATTCATGTTTATGATTTATCTTAAAGAAATGCTGAAATTGCCTTACGCATGTCTACAACCAGGCTGATCTCATTTGGATTTTTTTCAGCTGAACGATGGGCGATACCCATGGTATAGGAACATCCTCTACTTTTGCGACGATGTCCTATGGGAGATGTTCATTCTCAGCCTTAAGTCCATCTCTGGGGTTGAATGGAGTTTGTCGATGTGTTATACTTGAGGGATATCACTGTTTATGTAGAGTATTGCTGACGTATTTCTTAACTTTCCGATACTTATGTGCAGTTCTGGAAACTCCGGGTCGTTCTCAAAATTCTGTACGTGAACCTGTCCAACCACAAAGCACAACTACCTTCGTAGCCGACGAATATCCCGGCAATGACAAGTAGTGCTTCTGATCCACTGCAATTAAAGGACTAAATATCATCATAAGCCTTTTTCGTTTCGACCTTGATCATTAATCTCTACCAAAGAGTGAAAGTTTGTTCTAGACACTCAAAGTTGCATCAAAATTGTTTACATATGTTTCACGATTCTGGATCTTTACGTAAGAAATATGGTCATTTGAATACATATTTCTAACAACTATTTTAAGTTTGTCCATAATAGTATTCGTCTTCGCTTTAATCGCAGGGTGTTCACTCAGCGAATTGGTATACCTGTGATTACACTATCTATTTTGTTTTGGTACAATTATGTCCCCTTTTGTTACTCACTGCATTCAATAACGGGTTTCCTCCCTATCGCAAATGCCCGAGTTTCAGGAAGTTTCATGGCCATTTCGTATCTGTCTGTGTGTACGTAAACTTAACTGGCTTGACTTACAGTCCGGTATCACTTGTGTTCGAAATTCTTTGTCTAGTTTGTAAACTCGCTGTCGTCGGACAGTCTTCCGAGTTCTGTACCGAATTTGCCCAAGATTGTCCGTTTTCACCGTGCACAAGCGGAAGTGTTAACATGAGTTTGTTTGTTCTTTGACTGATGATATTTAGTGAAGCATTTTAAAAATGGAATTGATAATATTAACTATAACATCGACGTGGAATTTATCATTAAAAATGTTATGATCAGAGGATTTAATTATATGATGACATAAATTAACTGACAAGATAATTGTTTGCATATTAAATATAATGAACAAATGTCATGTTAAGCGCAATCATAACGGAAAGCAAGGATCATTGGGTTTGTGGCACTTGAACCAGAACTTGAACATATACAAACATGTATACACTCGTCTTATTGCGTCTTACTTTATTGTATCGGCCTTACTCTATACAATGTCTTTTAATATCCATGTTCATAATGATTTTCGTTATTTTCTTGATCGCCAAATGTCGTGAATAACATTTCCCCTGGGTTGATTTGCAATTGTCCTATTATCCACACCCGTGAAGTATAATTCAGTTGCTATTATCGTAGAGCAATAAAAAAAAAAAAACCCACTTAGAAGCGAGGGTGCGTAAAGCTGTTTTTGGAGGGAACAAACAGACGCGGAGGGACGAAATTACATGTACAAAATGGAGAATGATAACAACTGTTTTTCTGATTGTTGGTTTTAGAGTGCAATGTTTCAATGCTATAAATACCGCAATGATGATTTCAATATATTATTACTTCGTCACTCAAATTGTCACATTGAATTAATCAACAGAATATAATTTCAAGGTAACCATACTTTACTGTGATTGAGATGCAAGTATTTACTCGTACCGTATATATGCCGGAACATATTTTCGAGCCCGGGTCCGGGTCTGTCGTACAAGTTTTAACCTCGACCACATTAGTGTAAATACATGACCACACGGCTATTCGGTACGACGCGAACCGGTAAGTACACTGTAACAGTAGCACAGAAATGGTACTGTGTCGACGCCTTTGAAATGTGTGTTTATTCACTCTAACAAACGGATCGTAACAATACCTAATAACAAAGCAAACTGCAACGAATGGTCGAGTGCACTATAATAAAGAGCTGCACTATGTACCGGAATAGTAGTTATCACTATAATACAGAAAACGGATCCGGATTCCATACAGTTCATTACAGGTTTCTGAAACTGTTGTCTTAGCTTTGATGAGATAAACACCGTATCATCAGAAATATCAAAATAATATCAGAAGTTCGATTTAATTTCCTCCTTTTCTTGACCACAGAGACATGTAACGTGCTATGGAAGGTGTACTAAATAATGATAATAAATAATGATAATAAATAATAATAATTCGAGGTTCTTATATACCGCTTTATCACAACCTAGTTCGTAGGTCGTCACAAAGCGGTTCACAAATTATTATCCGTGATTTTAGGGCATTTGCAACCAGCAAATATCTTTCTCAACTCCCTGGGGAGCATACAGCCGGTGCTGCCATTTCGGCGCTCACAGCTAGCATTCTACAATTCTAGCACTGCCCAGCCACGTACACATTTACAGCTGAGTAGACTGGAACAAGCGGAGTAAAGTATCTTGCTCAAAGATACAACACAGTGCCGTGCCGAGACTCGAACCCACAACCCTTCGGTCACGAGCCCGGCGTCCTACCACTAGACTACCGTGCCTCCATAGATACAGAAAAAAGTAGACGTCACAGTATAAAGTGAAGCATCATCTCAAATACATTTACCGAAATGTTTGTTTTGTTATATTTTTGTTTGTTTAGTTTTGTTTGTTTGTTAATTTCAAGATGTATGACTATTGACTTAGTTTGATCGAATTGTGGGGTGAGTGTAGCGCCATAGACTTGACTTATACAATAAAAGTATTTATGTTTGGAATATTTATTATTTATAGTGAAAAGAAACTCATCTCTATTATACGGAAAATAACAATTTACGTATATTTCAATTAGCGATATCTCGAATTAAATATTTATTTTGCGATACATTGCAGTATTGTCAAAAACATTTCTCAAATTTTTAGAATTGAGATTCTTCTATATTTTGATTTCCCTATACATATCTTTTTGAAATTAAGGGACCTCTTATTAATCAATATCCATTTATCTCTGTTATAATGGGTGAAAACCCAAACAGCTTGCCGTAAGTGTGATCACATTTGGGGCAACATATTCAGTTTTCAGCAAGATGTTACAGTTCCCGGCAGCTGAAAGAAACAAGGTTCCTATCGTTGAGGTTCTGCAGCAGGTCCTGTCCAAGGAGACGGAGGGACTTGCCCTGGAGGTAGCCTCGGGGAGTGGAGCCCATGTCGCCCACATTGCTCAACAAATCCCTCGTCTCGCATGGCAGCCGAGTGAAATTGAGGACAGAAATTTAAAAAGGTAGCTGATATCCTTTTTCCAAATAAATTTTCTTAAACTTAATTACATGATTTGGTGATTAGTAAAGTGTTAATAGAACTGCAAAATCGACATATTTAATAATACATGTATCTTACTAATACTAACAGATTGACAAAACGAGTTGCAACATATAAATATATGTATATATAAATATAATGAAGCCGTGTGTTTAACGGAAATACCAGCAAGAGCAGAGTGAACAGGAGGAAGTTAAAATAGCACGGGAAGTGATGAACATTGATCAGAAGAAAGTTGTGAACAGCGAATAGTATAACTAGTCCTTTCGCACGGAGAAGGAACAACCACGTGGTCTGATATATATTTTCTTAAGTTTACTGTCTTGTTGCAGTACTTATCTAGTAATCTTAAAAAAATGGATTTTCTAACCCCCTCTTCCCTCTCTCCTCCTCCCCCTCTCACCATCCCCCTCTCTCCCTCTCTTCCTTTATCTACATGTGCATGTTTATATTTGTGCGCATGCGTGTGGTTCGGTGCGTGAATGTGTAACTGATAAATTAATTTATACATAGCTTATTTACGTAGTTCTGTCATCATGATTTTTTTTGATTTTTTTTTATTATTATTGTACAGGGAAAGGGCTTGATATAAGTTGTAAAGCGTGTGCCCAATTCCATTGCTATGTAAAAAAGGCAATAAACTATGTTTAAATAAAAAAAACTGTGCAAAGTATGCAGTACTACAATGAAAAATATCACATACTAGTAAGTAGTGTTTTGGTTAAGATAACATGATAAGAAAATAACTATTTCTGGCCTTATCTGACAAAAGTTCTGGGCTCATACCCCTGACTCTGTATCCAGCAACTGATCTCAACCTGATTGTTGATTGAGTCATATAAACGACGACGCTAATGCCAACACAATGTTTCAGTATTTCTGCGTTTATACAACATGCCGAGTTGTCCAATGTGAATGAGCCCGTACTGCTAGACGTCACGACGGACCCCGGGGCGTGGGCAGGTGGCTTAGGGGAGGGGTCACTAACAGTCATACTCAACGCCAACATGATCCACATTTCACCCTGGGACACAGCTGTGGTGAGTCGTCCAGTGATATATACACACAAACAAGTAATCAATGTGCTGGATTGTAAGTCCATCAGTATACATAGATGCTATCTAATGTTTTCCGATGAATACATTTTACTATATACAAGTGAATATTCTGCAAGACAGTAAAACATATAGATGGTATTAAACGGGAAATAATTTAATAGCATATGTTTATAACAGTTTTTGGTCTTCAAATTGAAGAAATAACAATGTGACAAACAACGGGCGTTCTTTAGGACGTCAAAAGTTCTTTACATTGACTTCATTTAATGATGTCACAATCAAGGATAATGTAAAACACGCACATTTCAAACTTTCTTGCTGTTATGCTTGGAATACTCCTACTTCTTATTTCTAGGTTATAAATACAAATATGATTAGTTCATCCTAAATATAGAATAAAACAGATTTGTTGCAAAATTGATTTGTTATTACTTGTCATTCAATGAAAAATCGCAAAACACGTTATATTTTAGTAAAACACGTCTGCGACTATTAATAATATTTATGATGATAGCACCAGCCATTTTGTTAGTCTATTAATATTTGCTCAGTATCGTAACATTTGTTCAAATCAACCACAGAGGGCAAAGTTCAACTCAAGTATCGGCTTCACAACAGTATTGATAAAGTATGGTGATTCTATTTTGGTTAATACAAAAACATTTTGGGTATTTTTTTTTAAACATTAAGTAAAATGAAAAGCTTTCGATTTCTTTTGGTTCCATTAAAAGTATAACTTGTATGGTTTGCAATTTTCAGGGTCTGTTTGCTGGAGCCAATTACCTTCTAAAACCCGGGGGATACATGTTTCTGTACGGAGTAAGTACACAAAACCCAGGGGATACCTGTTTCTGTACGGAGTAAGTACATAAAACCCGGGGAATACCTGTTTCTGTACGGAGTAAGTACACAATAAACCCCGGGGGATACCTGTTTCTGTACGGAATAAGTATACAATTAAACCCCGGGGTTTATTATGTCCGAAGTAAGTACATAAAACCCGGGGGATTCATGTTTCTGTTGGGAGTTAGTACACAATGTTTGCTGGAGCCAATTACCTTCTAAAACCCGGGCCATACATGTTTCTGTACGGAGTAAGTACACAAAACCCGGGGAATACCTGTTTCTGTACGGGGTAAGTACACAATAAACCCCGGGGGATACCTGTTTCCATACGGAGTAAGTACACAATAAACCCCGGGAGATCCCTGTTTCTGTACGGAGTAAGTACACAATAACCCCCGGGGGATACCTGTTTCTGTACGGAATAAGTATACAATTAAACCCCGGGGTTTCTTATGTACGAAGTAAGTACATAAAACCCGGGGAATACCTGTTTCTGTACGGGGTAAGTACACAATAAACCCCGGGGGATACCGGTTTCTGTACGGAGTAAGTACATAAAACCCGGGGGATATATGTTTCTGTACGGAGTAAATACACAATAAAACCCGGGGGATACCTTGTTTCTGTACGGAGTGAGTACACAATAAAACCCAGGGTATACCTGTTTCTTTACTGAGTAAGTATATAAACCCCAGGGATACCTGTTTCTGTACGGAGTAATTACACAATAAACCCCAGGGGATACCTGTTTCTGTACGGAGGAAGTACATAAAACCCGTGGAATACCTGTTTCTGTACGGAGTAAGAACATAAAACCCAGGGATACCTGTTTCTGAACGGAGTAAGTACACATTAAAACCCGGGGGATACCTGTTTCTGTACGGAATAAGTATACAATTAAAGGGGATACCTGTTTCTGTACGGAATAAGTATACAATTAAACCCCGGGGTTTATTATGTACGAAGTAAGTACATAAAACCCGGGGGATTCATGTTTCTGTTGGGAGTTAGTACACGATGTTTGCTGGAGCCAATTACCTTCTAAAACCTGGGGGATACATGTTTCTGTACGGAGTAAGTACACAAAACCCAGGGGATACCTGTTTCTGTACGCAGTAAGTACATAAAACCCGGGGAATACCTGTTTCTGTCCGGAGTAAGTACACAATAAACCCCGGGGATACCCGTTTCTGTACGGAGTAAGTACACAATAAACCCCAGGGGATACCTGTTTCTGTACGGAATAAGTATACAATTAAACCCCGGGGTTTATTATGTCCGAAGTAAGTACATAAAACCCGGGGGATTCATGTTTCTGTTGGGAGTTAGTACACAATGTTTGCTGGAGCCAATTACCTTCTAAAATCCGGGGGATACATGTTTCTGTACGGAGGAATTACACAATAAACCCCAGGGGATACCTGTTTCTGGACGGAATAAGTATACAATTAAACCCCGGGGTTTATTATGTCCGAAGTAAGTACATAAAACCCGGGGGATTCATGTTTCTGATGGGAGTTAGTACACAATGTTTGCTGGAGCCAATTACCTTCTAAAATCCGGGGGATACATGTTTCTGTACGGAGGAATTACACAATAAACCCCAGGGGATACCTGTTTCTGGACGGAATAAGTATACAATTAAACCCCGGGGTTTATTATGTCCGAAGTAAGTACATAAAACCCGGGGGATTCATGTTTCTGTTGGGAGTTAGTACACGATGTTTGCTGGAGCCAATTACCTTCTAAAATCCGGGGGATACATGTTTCTGTACGGAGGAATTACACAATAAACCCCAGGGGATACCTGTTTCTGGACGGAATAAGTATACAATTAAACCCCGGGGTTGATTATGTACGAAGTAAGTACATAAAACCCGGGGGATATATGTTTCTGTACGGAGTAAATACACAATAAAACCCGGGGGATACCTTGTTTCTGTACGGAGTGAGTACACAATAAAACCCAGGGTATACCTGTTTCTTTACTGAGTAAGTATATAAAACCCAGGGATACCTGTTTCTGTACGGAGTAAGCACACATTCAAACCCGGGGGATACCTGTTTCTGTACGGAATAAGTATACAATTAAACCCGGGGGATACATGTTTAGGTACGAAGTAAGTACATAAACCCCGGGGGATACATGTTTCTGTAGGGAGTAAGTACATAAAACCCGGGGGATACATGTTTCTGTACGGAGTAAGTACATACATGTAAAACCAGAGGGATACCTGTTTATGTACGGAGTAAATACACAATAAAACCCGGGGGATACCTATTTCTGTACGGAGTAAGTACACAATAAAACACGGGGGATACCTGTTTCTGGATGGATTAAGTACATAAAACCCGGGAATAACTTTTTATGTTAGAAAGTACATGACTAAGTATATGCATTTCATGTTTACTTTCCTGTGATATTTTTATCCGACACGTTGGCGTGTTATGTATACAGAATATAATATAACTACGATTAAGTACAAAGAATGTAACAACAATAATTGTTAAAGATAATTGCTCAAGATGTGAGGACTACCATTTAACATTTAGTAAGTCTATACAGAACGCCAAACAAAGCATACGTCTTTATTGACCCTATGGTCATTTTGTCCATTTAGGTCTCGTCAGTGGTACAAATGCTAAAACATGGAAATTCATGTCTTAAGTGTTTCAAAGTGCATGTAGACATATATTAAAACTTAGGAGAGGTACATTTAAAATCTTTTATAACGTCACAAATTCATATTTTGGATGCAACAAGTAGTTATTCTTCAACTAGGAAGAAAATTATGCATGCTTGTTTATATTTTTCTCTTTCAGCCATTTGCAATACATGGAAGCTTGACTCCAGATAGCAATGTTAAATTTGACCAGTATCTAAAATCACAGTAAGTACATTTTGAGGGAGCAACGTAACAGCATACTGTCGTAGTGTCTTTCAGCTACTGACCACGCTTGACGTTGCTGAACTAGTGAGCGGGTCACCGGATTATAGCGCATCGCTGGAAAAGCTACATAGCTTGTCAGTAAGGTGGAAATCTCCCCTTGAATTCCTTAGCTGTTACACTATTCCCCTCGACGAGAAGTCGCGTCCAGAGAATTGGCCTGGGGAATCCCGTAGGTCCTCCATGTGTACCAATGCACCTTCCTTACCACCAGAAACTGGCCTTACATGAGCACACAGAATCCCACCGCTGCCACCAAAAATACATATAACGGATGCGTGCCCACAGTTCCTCACCAAGTTCCATCTTGGACCTAGTAACTGTTTTAACAATGAATGCCAACAATATATAAAGAAACACTGGCCGTCTTTCTGACTCAAATACTTATAACCTAATTATTACCTCAAACAACTACTGCCTACACTACACCCGGTAGATGTTTTACACTTATTACACTAAAACAAACACATATATAGTCGAAAAGCCAGCTAAACATTGTATCGCCAAGTAACTGTCATCCTGTATTAACAATAGAGAGCATCTTACTGCGACAAACGTGAGTGTTTACTCCATTCACCGCGACACACCTTGACCACGTCACCGTTTACCGCGACTACCTTTTACCAAGTCACCACAGACACTATTGAACCAATGTCTTGGTAACCCTGAAGACTTGGTAAAATCGGTGTCTTGGTAGCTGTCACTCTGTATCTATCAACAGTACATTGCCCTGTACTGCGATACCTGTGACTATGTACACTACCAATTGATACAAAATATTTTGACTGTAAACTACACATGAGTACAGTGGGACCCTAACTTATGTAGCTAGGCCCAAACTTATTCAGTTTGTGCACTGTTTATCATGTTATACATGCTATAACAGTGGTCTTGTTACCTGCCTCTCTCTTCGACCATCTTATGTACGTCATTATTGTTGTGTATTCTGCATTGTCAGTCCTGATATTACAAATGAAGTATTTAGTGATAATCGTTCCCTTTGCGTCTAATTTATTATCACTTTTCTATAACTATGTGAAATACGTAATTGATAGAACAGTTGTGGATACGACATTAGGACTTTTCCCTTGCCCTCGATTATAGATCTGTAATAATAACAGTACATGGCCGATTCGTGAAAGCGAAAAAGGCCCGTTGATGGTCTCCAATGGCCAATACATCTCTAGAATACTACCTGTTATAAAGTTTATCAGTATGCTGTCTGCAGTAATGTTGGATTCTATTTTACAGGGACTGTAGATGGGGAGTGAGAGATATAGACGATGTAGAGAAGTTGGCTAAGACCAACCGACTCAGGATGCAACAAATGGTAAGTGATAATATAGTGTATGTATTCTTCTTGGCCTTGAAACGGAATTATGTTAAAATACAACCATGGCGTCTAAGTACACTTATATACAGTTTACTTCGTTTCACTTTTATCTTTAGAGATGAAGATTATGGTAGATAGAATATATATCTAATGCGTAATTGATCATAACAATCGTGAGATAGTTATAATTATAACAGCTGTTTCTGAATGTCATCAATATTACTGAATTGGTGCGGCTGATAATGTGATTGGCATGTTTATCATTTACAGGTGGATATGCCAGCCAACAATAAAATGTTGATATTCCTAAAGGAAGGCTGATGCTGTGTGTGAGACATTACATAATAATGTAACGATGATTTGTTAAGTCCTGTGGTAATTAATTAACTCCAGACAAATTGGATAACGACGAAAAATGATTGCTGTTCCACTGAATGTTGTTGAATGACACGTGTACATTTCCCTGTGGAGTACACCGGGTAGTTCAAACTTAACCACTCGAATTGGAGACCTGACTCTGGCGATGTTTTTTTCTGTTGATTGTTGGATTCATTTAGTAATTGCCAAAGAGACCTAAGATGCGGGCTAGTTTCTACTTCCAATTATTTAGGAATCAGAATTTTGGTCAATAACATAAAAAGCGTTACACTAGCCTGAATTATGATCTATATACTGTGGCGACTTTTGCGAAATCCAGCAGAGAGTGCCACACCTTACACTCCGTTAGAAGACGTTTAGAGGACAGTGTGAGAAACGTCGAGTAGGTGGGAATTATTGAGGATTGGTTTGTTGTTTTAAGGAAGGTTTCTGGACACTGTTTATATATAAGCCCTGCCCTGCGGGTGTTCACAGTAGTCATTTGTCTGTCACCAATTTCAATGCCTTTATCTAGCACACTTTCAGTAATTGGTGCGAACCTAAACAGAATTGGGAAAAAAGGTCTTTATCATCATTACTGTTTCGTTGTAAAATTTGACAAAATAGAGACAAAATCAAACAAGTTTTCATGGACTATTCAGAAAATTTCATACAATATATACTATTTATGTTGGTTATCTGAGTGTCGATGATCGGCATTACCAGCAAGGTGGAAACTTGTTGTGTAGGTGACCGTTTTACTGATCAAACTCTTACTCAAGTAAAGGTTTACATGTACCTTTATAGACAGTTGGCTACCATACAGTGGATAGCACTGATTATCATCGTATATAGTTACACATGCTTGTCGGAGATAAAATATAGTTGAAATTCAGACTTCGACATTGCAGGTCTATGATTTGAGAAGTATAATCCGGACACTAGACTTGAACAGCGTATCAGTCTGTTCCTCGTTACTTTATCAGTATCGTCTAATAAACTCGTGTGTTATGTAAGTTGTTCATATTTTTAATTTACTAATACAATTTATTTAAAAGGTAACCACACATCTTTGTTATATTATTCATCACGTCCATCACAATCGACGACATCGACACAAGAAAGTCCTCTTTATATCAAATCGTTGGCGACGTATACAGTTCTTTTCGCAAGCGTTCTAGCATTATATGCCAGCAAGTTACTGAACAAACGTAGCATTTTATACAAGCAATGTACCGGCCAAATCATGACTACGTCTTTCTGTCTTCGGGGAGAAGCTTTAACAAACATAACTCCTATAGGACCACGGCTATAGGTCACCGTCATTTCTGTTGTAGAATTTGGAACATTCCATGCCTGTTGTTTACTGCCAAATATCATTACTCTAGGTCTTTCTGTTCTTCAGAAGAAGGCGTTTAAAAGTTTTAACAAGTTTGACACCTATGACCTTGAATATAGGTCAAGGTAATTTCTTTCGCAAAAGTTTGAAAAGCCAATACAAGCACGTATCTGGCCATCACTCTACGCCTTCCCGTTCTTCAACAAAAGACGCTTGCGTGTTGCAAGATGCTAATTAATACTACGCCATGTGTTGCTGAGCTCCCTCTGTGTTCCTTTTGTGGACATATTGTGTTCTCCTTTGTAATCTTTATAGAGCATATATAGTACTAAGGGTGCTACATATCGATTATCGAAACCGACATAAAACATACCTCTGGTACGTGTTGTTCACCGTAGATTACCGTTACGTTACATGCAATGTAAGTACACTAGTATTTCTCATCACTATCAACTGCAGATGTATAAGGATCGTCTTTGAAACCTCTCGTTGTCTTTTTTATATATATACGTTTTCATCTCTTACTTCAATTGATCTTTAGATCTCAGCTGAATACCATAAAAAAGGTGGAAAATGCATTATTTTGCACCATAAAAGGAAATTGTGTTTCTTGCGTATGGAATTTACTAGAACATACCATATCTCAGCCGTTTAATCATCTCACGACATACACATTCCGTGAACTACAGGTGTAACATGGCGTAAGAAGAAATGTCTCTTCTTTTTAATGGAGTTGCTGTTTGTACTGATGCCTCTCCCCATGTGTACTTGTCCCGCCGGATATCCGCCTTTCCTTCATCCTCTAGCTGTAGAAATGGTTTCGTCGGTTGCTTAACTCGTTTCGTTCCTGCTGGTGTCCATGTAGAGGTTTTCCGGAATCCAAAGAATTCATCTTCAGGTCATGTTCTATGCACTGTCATAGTCGTGCTAATGGTGATGTACAATACAAATGGACTCTCCCTAGAAGCTCGTTGTTGGATTCAACATTAGACAAGAATAGCCTGTAATCTCCGTACACATGGGTTGTAGAGGCTGTTCAGTCGTTCCCCATCATGCTTATTTATCTTCCAGCAATCAGACTCATATTGATGCCAATATATTTACCTAAATGGTGAAAAAGGTTTCCTTACTTACTGCTCTCCTTGATTTTACAACGGAGCTTCATACTGTGACTGTTGACTGTGACTTTCTCCTCCCTGTTGATCTAATTTAGATTCTGAATATATTTTGCATCTATAGTCATGACCCTGGTCCTTGTGTTAATGACTAGACCTATCCAGCAGTAATGATCTCGAAGTCACCTGTCTTTCTTTGCAAATTTCTGTCGTTTGATGACATTATGGTCGTGTCGTCTTAACAAATCCAGATTAACGAGAGTATCAAAGTAAATCGTCCCCATATAATAGTTAGTTCTTTGTAGCCAATCACAGGGTCCAAAATTAATACAAATACTGAAATGACATCTTTGAACTACGCAGCCTTGATCAGTAAGGACCGATTCTGAGTCCCTCCCTCCTCGATATCCAGGGGTTACGCTCACTTTCTCTCTCTACACCCCTGGAATATGTCGAAGGCTCAGTGTGCGCCACCCTTGGGGATGACACGAGAAGACTAGTTTGATCCTTTGATGTACACCAAAAGAATCTATCAGTCGCGTAACGTTAAAACATACTGTCTTTGATGTCCGATGTCGCTTCTCTGTAATCTTTAAAGGACATGTATCAGCCTAGTGATTGGTCAGGCTTTTTTTACCTGACATCAATCAAATAGCTAGCAGCGTGCCTTCAATTTTTCCATTATCTTCATTTCTCCATTATTGCCGAGAACCGTTCTCTGTGTATGTTGTCAAATGCTTTCTAGATAACTTCAACAAAATAAATGAACCGTAGACCATTTCAATTTTGTAAACCAAATTCCAACCTTATTTCTAGCTAACAGTTAAATGAATCACAACAAACCTAAGGGAAGTTATACATGTACGTCATCTATATAAAACACAACCACATGGTGGAATCTGGTAAATAGCAGACTAACCAGTCTTACAAAATCGAAAGATGCTTGATGTGTGACAGTTACAAGGTAATTGTGTTAATTATGTTACAAGAGTAACTTATACCGAGAGGTATGATTACCTGCATTCCGAAAGAGGGGAAATCTAAATTATATATAAAAAATTGGAGACCTATTACGTTATTAAATGTAGACTACAAAATAGCTTCTTCTGTAATATCGAGTAGATTAAAACAAATTTTAGATATTCTTATAAGCGAAACACAAAAAGGGTTTATTAAGGGAAGGTACATAGGGGAATGCACTAGATTATTAGGTGACTTATTGAATTGTACTGAAAAAGAAAATATTCCAGGTTTGCTTCTACTAATAGAAAGCTTTTGATTCTTTAGAATCAAAATTTTATATTCGAAACACTACGATTCTATAATTTTGGTCCATCGTTTATTAAGTGGATTGAAACATTTTATAATAACAATACATGTTGCGTTGCAAATAATGGACATTTTTCAGAATTTTTGAAATACAACGGGGTGTCAGACAAGGAGATCCCATTAGTCCGTATATCTTTGTTTTATGTGTTGAATTGCTAAGTGCAGCAATTAAATATAACCCTGACATAACTGGTGTAAATATAAGTAATTCTGAGTATTTAGTAAATCAATTTGCAGACGATACAGCATTCACTCTCTCAGATGATCCTAACGTATTGGAAACAGTTCTAGTTACCTAAATTTTGCAGTAGTTTCCGGACTTAAAATAAATATGGAGAAAACGCAAACCATATGGATTGGATCCAGGCGGGGTTGTGGGTTGGAAATTCTTCCCCATAGAAATCTACTTTGGAATTATCAGGGGAAGTTTAAATTAATGAGCATCACTTATAACTTTCAAAAGGAAAATATATATGAGGATAATTTCATTGAAAAATTAAAGTCAATAAAACATCTGCTTGGTAATTGGTCCTTTATGAAACTTTTATACATAGGAAGAGTTACAGTAATAAAAACTTTAGCTTACCAATTTTAATAAAAACTTAAACTGTACTTCCAGATCCGCCTGATTTTTTTAGAGATATTTAGTCGACTTTTTTAAATTTATATGGAAAGGGAAGATTGATAAAATTAAACGAAATGTTATGTATGGCGATTACGATGAATGTGGATTACGAGTTCCTCATGTTAAATCTTTTTGTCATGCACTGAAGTTCTCCTTGGTAAAAAAGCTTTTAAATCCCATTCATTGCTCGCCTTGGAAAACTTTAGTATTAGATAAGATAGAATTATTTGGCGGGGATACAATTTCCAGAATGACTAAAGAAGGATTAGTTAGACGTTCAATTTTTTTAACACTTTTTGGAAAGAAAGTTTATGTATATGGTCATCCATTGTAGAAAATAAACCAACCACAAGCCAATAACACATTTCCCCCAGCCTATCTGGTATAATGACAGTATCAAAATAGATAGAAGACCTGCTTTTTATAGACAGTGGTGTTTTATTAACGATCTTGTAATAAATAACAGTTTTATGTCTTTTGAAATGGAATGAGGTTTTGCAAGTTAGTATATCTGATGGAGCATGGCAAACTTACTACTTATCTCCTAGACTTCTTACTGATGACACCAAACTTCAGAATTTCCAGTTTAAAATATTGCATAATATTCTATATACTAATGTCAAATTAATGCAAGCTAAACTAATGGAAACAGAAATGTGTACGTTTTGGGGAAATGGAAGGGAGACAATGTTACATTTATTTTGGGACTGTTGCTATGCAAAGGTGTTTTGGTCCTCTTTTTTTAATCTTATACAAATGAAACATTGCATTGAACTACCATTTAATTTTTAATCAATAATTTTTTGGGGTCAGTATTGCTTGATTTGATTATGAAACAATTTTTTTATTGCTACTCTTGAAGTTTTTCATCTACTATTGTAAGCAAAGGGAGACTACTCCGTCTTTTTCCACGGGTAAATTATATTTATCCTACTACAAAAAAATAGAAGAGGTTGGTCTGTACTCTTACAGTACTAAGAAAAGGGACAAAATTAAAAGCAAATGGAACTTTATTACTGTTATAATTAGTTAGAAAATGAACTATGATTTACTCTTTTCAAACTATTTTGAAACATATTTCTAAAGATTAATGTACTAAATAGTAAAATTGTATCCATGTACTACTTCATTATTTATAACTGTATGTCAATTTCTAATAGATGTACTCTTGTAATTGGATTTGGACGTATGTAGGTATCACATTTTGTAACAATTGTATATATGATTGAATAAAAGTATATATGAGAGAAAAAAACACTTAACACAATTGTAATACTAGGGACGGCCTTCGATCACGTTCAGTGGTCTTATTTGCATTTGTTCAATAATTTGAATTAGCTCTACATATCTATCTAGTATGTACATGTCCACATACTGCTATTTTATTATACAGGGGCCAGCGACGTACAAACCCAGAATATGCGTATCTGGCAGGGGTATATCATGCCTACGGCACTTTGGTCTAACAAGCTATTACTGTGATAGAATTGATATGACAGGACGACGGAGGACAGAATCGAGAAGGTATAAATGAAGGGAATCATAATACTGTATATAAACTAGCATTTGGCAAATTATGTTCAGCTAAAAGGCCAGATAGCGTCGTGATTCTTGCAGAAGGAAGTCGGGTGTAGAGGCTTGGTCTAGCAGTCGT